ATTCAGAAGCAACTAGGCCTAGGACAAAGTCACTCTTTTTTCATTAACAAAATATAATTCCATTCCTTATACCTTCTTTCACTGAAAACATTTATCTTACTTTCTTAGCATACTGCGATGTTTCCCTTAGTAGTAGAGAATATTTTAGGGTGACACCCAACATTTGTTAATATTCATTTCTAAATATCTTTAGTTTTTCTGTAAGAGGAAGTCAATATTCAGCAATTAATGTTTTGATATCTTATTTTATCTGAAAATGACCTAGCTATTTAATAAACTTCCATCATTTAACTTAATTTAGCCCATCTCTAAAATTTTAAGTTACCAAATATCTGGGGAGATCATTTGAGTGGACATTCCTGAAATAATAATTCCTTAAAGTTTACCCAAAAGCTCTTTCTCATTTACATTTAAGTTACTTATGAGAATATTATCCCAAGTTGTTTTTCTTGCTAATTTGTAACAGATGTGACAACATCTTATTGGACTTCTATTAAACCTAAGTACAATAGAAATTCTATGCTTAACGTTAATGAATCTTGAGACATGTCTATATTAATTGAACCAATAGGCTTAAGCTAGCTTCAAATACCAGGTATCGATTCAGTATTGAGTATTTTTTTAGATCACATGGACCTGATTTTCATTCTGGCCAGTTTCTTTTATATTTCTGAGTATTTATATAAGCATTTAATTTTCTTTAAGCTAACTAAATAGGGCTCTTTTACAAATTAATCTTGGCAATGCCACATATCTACAACACACATATAGGTATGTACAAACACACAAACACAGAGACCTCATAGTCCCCGTTTTAAACTTTTAGCTATGAATCAGATACAACAATGTAAGACTCATCAGTTACAAGAGGTTGGATTCAAATTGGGTTTTTGGCAGATGAACAGAACAAATCAAAGTTGCCTGTGTAGCTAGCTAAACATTTTTACTAACTTCTATGGAAGACAGTTAGTATTTCTATTTGTTTCCAAATTACTCCCTTTTTCAAGATTTGCATTCCAAAGGTCATAACAGCTGTTGAGTCATTGGCGTTGGGATAGAAGTTTAGAAGTTACAAAGTCCACTAGTTGAGGCCCCACTGTCAGTTGTTCCTAAGGCTCTTGGGTGGCAATTGTTATAGGGGGGTCTTTAAAATGGCTAGAGCCCTGGGCCCTGTCAGTTATTACTTTCCTCATTATTGGATTTCGTATAGGCTTGTATATGTGATATTTCTTCCTATTTATCTTTTCTCTGGCAAAACAGTTCTAACTGGAGAATGGTTTAGTCATTTTCAGGCCAGTGTTTCTCAGAGCCTAAAGTGTACATTACTCAAGCAGTATTACAGTAAAATACCATCTTTTTCTTAGTCATAGGCTCACAGCTATATTTTCCTATTTATTTAAGACATGCCCCAAAGGGCTTTCCTTAGGGTCAGATGGAGTATTTCCCACATCTATAAGTTTAAGAACAATAAGACACAAAAGGCGCAACAAACCCCAATACCAAAAACACGAAGTATAACATGACTAAACACAAACTGAAGCCATCTTTCCCTTAGGCATGGGTTCATAGCTGTGTGTAATCAGACCACTAATTCAAAATGTGCCTCAAAGAACCTTCTTTAGGGATAGTTGAAATGTTCCTTATCTTTTTTTTTTAAGACAAGAATACAAAACACGACAACATAACGCCATTTGCAGCAACATGGGTGCTCCTGGAGAATGTCATTCTAAGTGAAGTAAGCCAGAAAGAGAAAGAAACATACCATATGAGATCACTCATATGTGGAATCTAAAAACTAACAAAAACAAAAACAAACAAACAAAGCATAAATACAAAACAGAAACAGACTCATTGACATAGAATACACACTTGTGGTTGCCAAGGGGGCGGAGGGTGGGAAGGGATAGACGGGATTTCAAAATCGTAGAATAGATAAACAAGATTATATTGTATAGCACAGGGAAATATACACAAGATCTTATGGTAGCTCA